TGACGCGACCAGTTTGAAACTTTCAGTTTCAGTTTCATTCATCAGAATCATCACAAAGTTGCAGTTTCGTTGCAGTTGCGTTTCACCGTCTGTTCTGGGCCTTAGTGTATTTACGGATTTAACCCTTAAAACGATTTCGATTCCGGTAGGTGACGTCACCAATATTCCCCGATTCATCTTTTTAGAATTGACCCGGGATCTGAATCGTTGCAATTAGATCAAAGATTTTAATCTTTTTGCCCTAAGGTTTCGTCCACACCGACATGACTTATGGAAGTGATATTAAAATGGTACTTTAAAATTGGTGACGTTTTGATAGACAATCTTTAAACGGTCGTTGATGTTATTAAAGTAATGAATTTTAAAACACATTTGGATCAGTCAATTTATTGTAATGTATTGGTAAATGTAATATGGGTAACATTTTTTGTAATTTGTGAGATTTTCAAACTCTTTTTTTTATGCATAACAAGGCAGGTATTTGACCATAATCGCACCTGATGTTAAGTGGGATGCAGTCTAGGATGGTACATATCTGCCCTGTAAGTGCTTATTCACTCTCGCCTTGAAGAGGAACGGATTATAGTTTTCGGGAAAGACAGCAGCAGGCAACGAATTCCAGTCCCTAGCTGTTCGCATTATAAAAGAGTCATCGAAACGCTTAGTGGGAGCTGGTGGAATGTCAACAATATAGGGATGGTACGCTAACCTGCGTCATTATTTCATATTTTTGAGACGTCTTCGGTTTGCTTACGAGCTTTCCATAGCTTTTATTTTGGCGTTTCTTTACTTGGATGAATGAACATGTTCTTGGATCGGCGGATAAGTTTGCCCCTATGCATTCAGCTGTGATATGCCTAAAATAATATTTCAGCTAGGTCAAGGTAAAACAAAAAAGTATCATTATACTTAGTTAAGAGATACTGAAACCATTTTAAGTTTAAGTCAATGTAAACGCACCCTAACGAATTTAACTCCACTATGTAGATAATTTGCGGTTGGGCGTAGTTAAAAGTAAAATGAAGTTCAGCTTTAAAGTGGATCGACGAATCTGGATTCGACAGCTGGGGAGTCATTGTAGGTATTATTTGGTTCAAGTGTCTATGTTTTTGTTACTCAACTAGATAAGGTTAAATCTGACGTATTTTAATAAATTGTGACTAATATTTTGACTCCACGTATAATAAGAATTAAGAGTAGATATGGCATGATAATGAACTTTCAGGATTTTATATTGATACTTAGTTATATTATAAGGCATTTAAAATGCATGTAGGTAAATCTAGTAGTTCTGGGTAGCATAGGGACCAGCGTTACCAGACGTCCCGATTTTGGCGGGACGTCCCGATTTTTAAATCAAATTTAAATGTCCCGCGCGGGACAGGCTCGGTCCCGCTTTTCGGAGAGAAACACATCACTTCACCAGACTATTGTTTGAAACGCCATATTATTCTAAAGAATAAAACATTTTTACACGTAAACGTAATTTTAAGTCAAATAAAAAGATAGTTAAATATTTGAAAACCTTTGATTATATACGTTTTTTTACTATGTCCCGCTTCTGACGGAAGAATCCCGCTATTTTCACTCAAAAAGTACCAAAGTCCCGACTTGGCGAAATAAAAACTGGCAACGCTGATAGGGACTATTAGCGACCTTTATTATTAACTAGCTGACCCGGCTAACTTTGTTCCGCCTTAATGGCAATAAATAAGCAGACTTTTTTTTTAAATTTCGAACGGGATAAAAAGTATCCTATGTCCTTCTCCTGGCTCTAAACTACCTCTTTGACAATTTTCAGCTAAATCGATTCAGCCGTTCTTGAGTTATAAGTGGAGTAACTAACACGACTTTCTTTTATATATATAGATTAAGAGACTTAAATAAGGAGAACTTCGCATGTCACTATGATTTTATTTATGTATTTGCTGTTTCTACAATCTGTAAGATCTACCTAAGTTGTTTGTTAGAAGTTGGCGGCGTTCAAGTATCTACTCGTACGTATATAGATTTTATCAAAACCACCTAAAATACCAGACAAACTTTTAATTTGAAGAAGTATTATTATCTACTCGCAAGGAAAACCAGCAGTTTGCGAGTTTTCATGAAACGTTCAGAATATGTACGAGTATCCCCAGATTTTCCAGTTCCAAGTTATTGGAGAGCGCAATAAGTTAGAAAGCGTGGTCGAAGATTATTGGAAGTGCAGCGATTTTCATCTGGGCGACTGCATTTATACATTTTGAGCATTCTTTATTAAATGTGATTTCATTTTGAAGTTATTAATTTTATTCCGCCCCAGAATGTCGTTGACGGTTCTGCAAATTGGCAATAATGGATGGACTAGATAGACGGTGGGTAATGAGATATATTCCAAGATCGCCATCTGTAAGTCAATGACAGCTTCCTTATAATGGAGAAGGGTTAAGTCTACAAGAACAAGAACTGTCGTTATAAGGGCCGACTTTCCGATATAAGTTTGGCGTTTAGACATTTTTGTTCTATCCAAAATCAGTAACTTTTTATCAGGTGATTGAAAAACTTGGCTTACAAAGAGATATATTGTTTTATCCGTGTACTGTCTCATGTTTAGTATTTTTGAAAATTGTCACACATGAAATGAACTGGTATTTGTTTGCATGCACATATTATAAAGTTGCGTAAAAGAAGTGCCTAACAGAAGTGTTCATGTCATTATCACAGTCCTATTTTTAGTAACCATTTTCTTTAAAACAAATGAAATATTAACTGTGCGTTAACAAAAAAGGCGTGTTTCAGAAATGAAGGAACCGGGCAAAAAAATGTTAAGAGATAAAATTACCATCAAGTGTATCAACAGGAGATATAAAGTTGAAATCAAAAGTTAATGGAAAAATTCTCCCGCCGTTTCTTCCGTTTGAAGTTGGAGTTATTTCCAATTACGAACTCAAAACAAAGCTCGTTTTAATCAAACACAAATGAATACTTTGCTATTGAATTTCGGATTTTTGACTAAGGCGCTCGTTTAAGGCTTGGTATTTCTTCNTCTCAAATCGCTTATTTTAAAAATAAAACCATTATTAGAAAACGAATAGAGGTAACTTTGGGAATTTATTCTATCGAGTCAACTTCATCAAATCGTGTTTCCATCCGTTAATAGCCCTAGAAAATATCCTCAACTATGCTCAATAAAAATCTTAGCCTTTAATTTTACTGTTTAGTACCTCAAAAATGAAAAATGAAAACCTCATTTTCGCCATTTTCTCTGTTACCTGGCCTTAATGTGAGAAGTATAAGATCAGTTGGAGCGTAGATCTTGAGATATATTTTTAACTGGGGTCAGGTTTTTCCATGGTTTCCAGTATCTGTATCGTTTCACATCCTAAGCCTGTTCATATTCTGAATGCGTTTCTTCTTTAATTTGGCCCAAGGTTTATCTTATGTCAAATGCGTTTGCTGGTTAGAATCCCACTGGGAGGCTAAATGTGTGAGAGTATTTATTTAGAAAAAACTTCTATCCGTTATAATTACCACATAGCAAAGTTGTGATTCGTTCGTTAGTCATATTTTGTAAAATAGCACTCCCTAAAATTGTCTCATGAAAAGGACATTAACTTCATCATTTAATACGAATCCCGTCGCAAAACAAAATCTCCTTTCAATAAGCCCTATTAATGTAACGGTCCAAATTATTTCCTCTCGCTACGCGGAGGCCTCCGGGGCCCATTATTTTTCCATCATATCCCGCGAGAAGATTTGTTTAACTTGGTATTTGTACCAGAGATTCATAAATAATACCCACCTCGAGAACCGTCTCGCTCACTTTCATAATGAATGTCAGAGACGAATGGGGGGATCGCGTGAAAACCACGAAAGGGAGGATTTTATATATCCCCGAACTTCCGTTTCCTGCGGGTGATTAATAAAAGCCTTTTAGGTATATTTAATTATGACGCGGGCGGAATAATTTTATTACGGGGTTGATTTGAAAAGTTTTAATTTGTGGACGCGTTTATTAGTAGGCGTAAAAAGTTGGGTGTAGATAAAAGTAACATTGTGGCCGGCAGCGGGTCACGCATAGCGCTGAGTAGTGATTTTCTTTGTTTAAGCCATGCTACTTGTATTACAGTGGGTATTGTTTACCTTTGTGCTGATGCCCCATTTTTTTAGAAACATATTATAATTCTTTTGAGTGAAGGTTTTGTTTAAAGAGGCCTAAAATTGAGTAATCAATCATTTTCCGGCACGATTTTTTTTTTTTTTTTATCCACAACGAGGAAGCTCTTAGCCTGAATCTCACCTGATGGTAAGTGATGATCAGGCCGAAGGTCGAAGCGAGCTTCACCCGGAATCCTCAACCACGGAGGAACTGGCTATCTTACCTCTAACTGCCGGAACACAACAATGCTGTTAACTTTGTTGTTATGGCGACAGACTTAGGTAAGATGGTGGTAGCTAGCCAGGCGGACTTAGAACAAGCCCTACCACCAACCAAACCGAACAGAAAAATCTGCCCCCACTGGGAATCGAACCCGGGACCTCTGTGTCTGAAGCAGGTGGTCTTACCACTAGACCACAGAGGCGGTTTAATAGAAGAATTTTTTAAGAAGAATTTTTTAAAAGAAGATGCTCTACATTTTTTCCTGAACGAAAATAAATAAGTACCTACAGTGTTAAGTACAGAGTGTGTGTATAGCGCAAAGTGTTGAGCGGAACAATCCCCCGCGGAAATGAAATATTTTCCAGTCGATTTTGAACTTTATTAATTACATAACCTCACCTTCTTTTCAGTTTTACCTTTATGAATTACATTATCATACTTTTTCCATTTTCATCATCATCATCATTTCAGCCATAGGACGTCCACTGCTGAACATAGGCCTCCCCCAACGTTTTCCATGTTGATCGATTGGTAGCGGCCTGCGTACAGCGCTTCCCTGCTACCTTTATAATGACGTTTTCCATTTTACCATTATTTAAAAGGTTTTAAAAATAACAACTGCTAATTTATTCTCACTTACCGTATCGCATAAGCGAAGGCCATGACCGCGTCAGAGACGAACTGCAGCTGCCTCTCGAACTCGGTGTTGTCTGCCGTCAGCCGTTCGAGTCCCGAGCAGGACCGCACGTAGTGCCCGTTGTAAGGGGTCCGTGGACTGCCCGGGTAGCGGCATTGGAAGTGGTCTTCCCAGAATTCTGGCAAATAAGATAAATATCTTGATTGACCATTTAGCACAAAAACTTAAGATTACCAATTTGAAAAGAGTCAATTCCTCATTCGTTCTTACTTCATCTACCCCGACGTGCCTCAGAACTTACGTTTCAATTGACGGAAAAAAAATATTTAAGTACTAGGTACTTCCCTATCCCCTTTTACAGTTCCTCTAAAATCCACTAGAGATCAGAGACCTGTCGTTCCATCTGATCGACCCAACCTTGCGGAAGAGGTTAATAGAATTCTTGCTCTTTACAGCTCGCAACTACCCTTTTTGCTAATTTCCATCCAAAATCTTTGCTAAAACCACTTACCAACAAACCAAGGGTTCCTCTTATTGTTCTTCACATTGAGCCCCAAGAAGTAGTCCGTGAAGCCGCTGACGTCATGCGCCTGAGGCTGGACGCTGATGGTGCCTTCCACGGCGCGTTCATTCCCATCGGAGACCAAAGACCTGGCGCTCCAGCCGTCCGAACCGACCCAACTGAAGAGACTGGTGGCGTTCCCTCGCTCCACCGCTCGCATCACGCCCGCTACTTCTTGGTCGGACCCGAAGATTATTGCACCTGAAAGAAAAATATCATGAGCAAACCCCTTAGCATTTACTGTATGATTTTCCCTTTATGTTCCATCTGAGAATGTATTTTAGAACCTTTGGGAGAACGTCGAAGGGATTAAGAGGTGTTGACGTTTGTAGAGTACCTATTATTAAACTTGTTCTAAAACAGGTTTCATTTTTGAAAGTTTAGGAAAATAAAGGATAGTGCCAGGGTCTGGACCAAGTGCTGCCCAGAATCAACCTATAGTGCATTTTGTTCCTCAGATCAATACTAATGTGTAAACCGAAGCGCACTGCAATCTATCCCTGGAGTTAAGAGAAAAAAAGAGTTTTGTTTTGAAATATTTTCATACAAAATATCATCGATGTATACGTACTACGCATAAGATTTCGTGATTTTGGCATTAAATAACACTCGCTATGTTGAACTTAACCATACTGCATCCGTACACCTTACTTTAGTGCGACTTAGACATTCTTTATAAGCGATCTAGCGCTGTTGCAATAGTTTGGTTACTTGACAGAAATCATTATTTCCAAAATGAATCAAGAAGTAATTTAGTCCTCTATCCTTGCAAAAAATCAATTCATTGGTGTATTACAATCGATTATTGAAGTTATTGTAAGATAAAACTTCTTGCTCTATTTTGGAAATAATTAATTTCGGTCAACTAACCAAACTACTGCAACAGCGCTTGATCGCTTATAAAGAATGTCGAAGTCGTACTAAAGTAAGGTGTACGGATGCAGTATGGTTAAGTTCAACATAACGAGTGTTATTTAATGCCAAAATCGCGAAATCTTATGCGTAGTAGGTATACATCGATGATATTTTGTATGTAAATAATTCCAAACAAAACTCTTTTTTTCTCTTAACTCCAGGGATAGATTTCAGTGCGCTCCGGTTTAAAAATTAGTATTGGCCTGAGGAACAAAATGCACTATAGTTTCATTCTGGGCAGCACTTGGTCCAACTTCCATACATGGATTGGCACTGTCCTTTCAATTAAAAGTCTGTTAGGTAGCCTTAAATCCATAACTTCAGACTAACAAACGTTGTTACCATTATAATGTTTAGATTATAATCTTAAAGATAAGTAGAAAACTAATATGCAGCCTCCAATAGTCACAAAGCACTTCAGCTAATCACACTCGGAATCGGCTCCAGCACTCATTCCGAACTAAATTGCGACTTAAAGACGACCCACACGTTTAATTACACATCTGAGGGGCGTTCGTGGTGCGTTACCCACCAATCACGGGCAAGCTGTGAACTCCGGGGTAGGGTTGTCTACAGTAAGAAAAATATATTTTTTTACGTTCAACGATGTCATTTATATCAAAACGGTCAAGTATTCATTCTGGATAGGTTACTCTGATAGGAGTTGGGGTAGGCTTTGGCCCAGCAGTGGGATGTCTAGGCAGCATTTAAAAGTGAACTAATATGCGTGTCATCCGCTCCGCGACGTTACATAATTTACCAGCTGCCGTAGCTCCGTAGGAGTACCTATACTTTTTACCTAGAAGTTATAACTATTTTTCCGAGTAATTTAAGAGTTAAGAAAACTATACAAATATCTCAAGTTACGTCAATTTAAGACTCTACCTAACCAATTAGTACAGCCATTAACCTAGTTTCTTACCAACTCAATATCATAATTTCGTCTATAAATTACCTTTAATACGAATACTACTTGAGGTAGAACGCTGCATTTTTAACCGAGGAATTAGGTAAAGTAAAAACGGCGACGTAGCAAATATTTTTTTTCCGTTTTTATCGCTATCTGTTCCATTGCTGGTTCAGAACTTTCGAGTTGTGGATCTTGGCTACACAGTGAGCTGCAGTGATGGGAACAGTAGGTGGGAATGATCGCATATAAATTTTAATTAGTCAAGCAAATACACTAAGTATTGCATGAGTAGATATAGTATAGTGTAGTAATTGGCAGGAAACACAATGAATGCTCGGGCTGGGTGGCGCCATCTTGCTGTAACTTTAATAATCTTCAAAAATCTATTAAATTCCATACAAAAAACACCCAGTTACTGCTATGGTAACGGTTGAAGTAGGCTGGTGCAACTGAGCCCGAAAAACTAAGGACGAGAACTATTGCCGACAAACTGTAATGCAGTTTGGCAAGTGTATCTTTATATTTGATGTGTATCCTTTTGTGAACAATAAATAAAAAAATAAATAAAAAAAACACTAACAAATACTCTTTTAAAATGTGAATAGCTCGGGATTCGAATTCGCTGCCTGCTGCTGTCTTTCCTGAACACTATAATCCGGGCCTTTTCAAGGCGAGAGTGTATAGGCACTTACCACCACGACCACGACCACCCTAGAATGCATCTCACTTAACACCAGGTACGATTGCGGTCGAATACCTTGTCATGCATTAAAAAAATATTGTGACCACTTCCTCCTCGAAATCTTTTTCGTCGGCCCTGTTGGCAGCCCTAGCCTAGAATCAATTTGTGTAACCATTTTAGCGAAAAATTGTCTCTCGACGCAGCCGGTTATCGCCGAGACACACGGGGCCATTCATCAGAACGCATTATAGCAATATGGTGTTAGGCTTGATACGGTTGGTTTATATCCTAATATTTTTCACAGCGGATCGGGTGGGTTTCGGAGGTTTTGGCTACGAAACGCCATGGCTTTTGGCTTGAGTATTGGCGTTCTTAATTACGTACCTATGGGTACTTTGTTAAGTCTAGTTTTTTTTTCATGTAGTAGGAGTGTACAAAATTGTACCTACCTCTAATATTTTAGACTTTTTCATTCATTTTTATAACAGGATAACGGAAGCCCACGCAAGCCAACAATTTCCCGAAAACAAGCCAAATTTTGTGCCAAAATACACACTGCAGGCAACACCTGAATAATTAAAGGGGTAGTGTCAAAAATCTGAAAAAACTTGGTATAACTTTCTGACAAAAATCACAAGGCTTTTATTTATACATTTTGCAAAATTTTGCTTAACTTGGTTGCGCCAAAATGCGAGAAAGTGTGAGCATATGTACCTACCCCAGACCATCGTATCTGTCATGGGCAATTCATCAGCAAAACACAGATCATTCTTTATGTTGATGTCATGTCTTAAGTGCTCTATTTTGTATGACTGTACAAAGATGTAGTTTTATGATTCAAAGGAGAACATAACCTTCAAAACGCTACGAGGCTCAGATTTCTAAACAGAATACATATTTATTTAGTTGAATATAAAGATGACATCTCACTAATTGTATCAAGGAAAGTGCCAACAAACTCGCGTTTATTTTCGTTGGCAACATCAAACTGCTGGCAACACCTACTGAATATTAAAAGGGGAGTGTCAGATACACCCAAAAAAACCGGCGGCTGTCGGCGAAAATCGCAGAGCTTATACATATTATAACAGAGCTGTGTAAGGCCAAAGCACACGATGCGTTGCGGCGCCGCACCTCAAAGATTTCGCCGTATTGCGCGGTTGCCACTGAACCGATTTTAATGAAATTTGGCACGGAGATAGTTTGAGTCCCGGGAAAGGACATAGGATAGTTTTTATCTCGGTTTTTGTAACAGGGACGCGCGCGGCAAAGTTTTTCTGTGACAGACAAAATTCCAGGCGGACGAAGCCGCGGGCGGAAAGCTAGTATTTCTATGTAATAAATAAATCTTTAAATAAATCTTTGGACAATTTCACACAGCGCCAGCTAGCCCCAAAGTAAGCAACTTAATGCTTGTGTTATGGGTGCTAGCTTAACGGATATACTACTTATATACTTTTTTTTTTATAAATACATAAATATTATACATAGTCACACCCAGACCCGTCACAGAAATTAAAATTCATCATTTCAATTTCTGCCCGGCCGGGAATCGAACCCGGGACCTCTCGGCATAATAGTCCGTTCTGAACCACTACACCAAACGGCCGACGAATAATAATATGACGTAGTGACACCGTTCCGGAGCACTGCCGCCGCAACGCATCGTGTGCTTTGGCTCTAAGTGCTTCGCGACAAAATGCGAGTACGCGAACCGAGTCGGTGCGAAACGAAATTAATTTGGTGTTCAAACGGAGCGGTGGCGGCGAAAGCGCCAAATCTCCTGGGATATGATACAGTGTTCGCACGTTCCGAGGTGTCCATGAGGTAATTGTAAGGTGGGAATTCAATTTTGAAGCAGTGATACTATTTATTCAGTCTTAGTAGCTCGGTGGCGAGAGCAGTTGCCCGCAAGCGGAAGATCGTATTATAATAATTATCATAAGTTGAATACAGTTGCCCTTATAACAATATTAACGGAAAATGAGATATTTATACTACTTTAGACCTTGACTTGTTATTCTTTTGGATTGCTTTCTAATTCTGATTGCGTGATTTCGATTACGTAACTGAAACATTTCGAAAACTGTTTGTGCTTATAAGGATTCAGTGCATTCCATCTCGGTTTTAAGAGTGCTCTCTAGCAAATCGTGTTTTTTACAGAGCTATAGATAATCAGCTTGATAGCAGAAAACAGATATTTAGTAGTCATTGTTTTTTGTAACAAAAATAACTAATAATTTTATTTCTTGATTTGAGTGTGGGTACAATTTGTTTGGATTCCCGATTTCTGATCCATTTGACCCTCAGTTTTAGGAATGGGGTATTCCAACCATCCCCGGGTAGAATGCGTGGTAAATTCAGAGAACTGCTCCTGAATCATGTACCTACTACTGCTATTTGTATCTATTTATTTATATGAACCGGCAGACAGCGGTGACTGAGTTTGTTGCGGCGCTTCTTCTCAGCACTTGTCAAAGTTGGTCTCGAAGCGCTGATAGGGTAAAAAGATTATGAGACATGTAGAGACTCCTTAGAGCAAAATATTTGACGATTTGTAAGTACTATTAAATAGTCTATACAAATAAAGAGATTTTGACTTTGGCTTTGACTTTAGGGTGGTCGCCCTACTCCTCAGCCTTGCCATCGCATGTGATATGCCTTGTTTTTGTGTCGTCGTCTTAAGGGAC